TCAAATATAAACCTCTTTAAAGTGTATATGTAAGCCAATTGAATGGGGACAACTTACAGTAAGACAGTACTGCATATGATAGAGTATCATAAAGTATTACCCAAAATTCTAATGTAGCTTCGTAATTGCCACATTAGTGTTACTCAACAAATCAGAAAGAAAAGGGTCACCTTTATCAGGAGCATTGCACTGTGGAGTTTTGTTGGGAAAGTTTAGAGTGACAGATCTGAGGATAAGTCTAGGGATAGTTAGGGTCATTTGTGGACAAAATCAGGAATCTATTTTGCTTTCTTCAGTTGTAAATTTCTTTGCTGCAAACACAGGAAGATGGCTTGAGTCTTTGTATTTGTTACAGTGGTGAGGAAAAGCCAGGATTTTGAGGTCAAATAGACCTGAGTTTGAATCCCAGTCCTATTCCTTAGCTTTAAGTTACTATCATCCCTAGTCCTCAGTTTCCTCATCTGTAAAGTGAGGACACCAATAATTCCTTCCCTCAAAATGTTGTGAGGACGAGAGATGATTTCATCATCAATGCAAATACAGGCTCCTAAATGGTCTTCCTGCTTCTGCCCTTGTCTTGTAGCATCATAAAGTTCTCATCATGGCAGCCAGAGTGACCTTTTCAAATTGCAAGTCAGACTATATTGGTCCTCTGGTCCTCCAATGGCTTCCCACCTCACTCAGAGGAATGCCTGTAGTCTTCACAGCGGTTGACAAGATCTGGCCCCTACTATTTTTCCTACTTCTCTCCCCCTTGCCCATCCCTCTCCAGCTTCCTTGCTGTTCACAATCTAGGGTCTTTGCATCTTCCGTTTCCTCTGCCTGGAATGCTTTTCCTCCAAATAGCCAAATGACTTGCTCCCTCATGTCCATCACTTGTAAGATGACACTTCTGCTCAAGTGTCATCTTACAAGTGAGACCCTCCAACACCCCTTTCTCCCCCAGCTTTTCTTTCACCAACCAACATACTATATCTTTACGTTTCAAGTCATGCTTTTGTTTTCCTAATGCCTGCCCCATACCACCTAGAATGTAAGCCCCATGAGAGCAGAGGAGTTTGGCTGATGACCAAAATAGTGCCTGGCACATAGTAGGTGCATGAAAGAGGTTGACCAATATTCATCAACAAATAATTAGAAGTATTATCACTTACATAGCACTTACCATGTATGGGGCACTGTTATAAGCACTTATGTATGTTAATTTATTTATCCTTACAACAGCCCTATGAGGCAGGTATGTACTATCATTATGCCCATTTTACAGATGAAGAACTGGGGAGCAGAGAGGTTAGGTGTCTCACCAAGGTACAGGAGGTGGACCCATACTTTTAACCATTATGGTGTCATTTACTGAGATCCTACTCCAGCTGGGCTCTGTCTAGGCACTGGGTATAGCAGTGAACAAAACAGAGTCGCTCTCATTTAGATGAATAGAGACTTAAGAAATAAAATAATCAAATGCAATGGAAAATCTTAGCAGATCTGGGTTTGGATAAAAGAGCAGCAGTAGAAGCCATTTGGGAGGTAATTGGGGAAATCTGAATATGAACTAGGTATCTGTTATGTTCAAGAATTATTGTAATTTTTTAGGTGTGATATGGTATTATGGGTAAGTAGGAATGTGCTCGTTTTTGGAGATGCACGTTAAAGCATGAAGGGATGAAATGTCATTCGGTCTATATTTTAAAACACTTCAATAAAAAATAGGTTAACAATTGTTAAATCTAGGTGGAGGAGAAATGGTTATTCGCATACTATTCTTGGTTTGAATATTTTAATAGAAAAGGCTTCTTAAAACCATAAAAAGGAAAAATATATGGAGCTTACATTCTAATGAGAAGACAGAGCTCATGGTGGTCGGCTCACTGTAGGCCCTCCCTTCTCTCCACTCTATTCTGTAAAATCCAACTGCCAGCTCATCGGCAAAATCCTCCACCCTGATGTTAAGTGAGTATAACTCACAGTGAAAGCCTGTGAAGCAATCCTTACTTGCCCTGACTTTTGCCTTCTTTGATCTCTCACCATATGGCTCCTCACGTCAAAAATCCTCAAAACTTTAGCTTCGATCAAATTTTGAGAATCGTTTTCTCAGTTAGATCCCAATTCACAAAATTAAAGATTCTTCCCATCTAAGGCACAGGTGTTGCACATGGCTGCATCCTATTAAAAAACATATTTTATGTGCGTGTGATTGATGGAGCATCTATTTTATGGAATTAATATAGAGAATAACTCTCAGGCAGTGAGATGGCTTTATTTTCCCTGCTCCACAAACATACCAACTATATCATGCTTCTAAGTTGTTCCTTTCATCTGAACAGTTTAGAAATTTCTGCTTTCAAATCACCTTCAGACTTAACTTGCCAGACACAACAAGGAGATGAAATGCTCTCTTGGCCTATAAGCTTTCTCCTCCTCTTACCTTATCTTTTGCTGTTTTTATTTCAAACCCTTTCCTTGACTATTATGTGCACATGTGCCCAAGGTGCCACAAAGAGGGTTTGGGCTGCTGCGGATAGGGAGCTAAGATATACTACAAAGAAAAGCCATCGGAATATGGCTTTTTCAAATGTAAAAGAAAATTAATAAACAATTCTTAATTATGATGCTTAATTACAACTGAGCAACTCCTAATTGTTTGTCAATTAAGATTTTTGGTGTTAAATGGAATTCCAAAAACAGCTATCAACTTTGGAGAAAGAGGGCTTACAGAAGCAACTGGGGTTCACCTAGTTTGAAAGGTTGGCTGTGGGTAATTAAAGGTGGTGATATCCCAGTTGGGCTTCACAACTGCTTAATAATACAAGCTTTTGGGTTGGTGCAGCAGGCTTGCTGGAACAGCTGGCAAAACAGCACTGTTTGTCATTGACTTTACAATGCAAAATTAAGGCTATCCTTCCTGTCAGTGGTTATGCATTTTTAAGCAGATATCACTGATATTAGAGATAAAAAAACACTAGGAATCCAGGCCCTAGAGGTAAAATCAGGATGGGAAACAGTTCTTGCCCCTTTCTAAATGAAGCTCACCCATGCTCACAGCATTTCAAGGAACCCGAGGTTATACTCAGCACATGGTTCCTTATCTTTATAATCATTTACCAGGATTCAAAACTCTTTTGGGAAAGTAAACTTCTGGCCATAGTTTTTTGCAGTTTTTTTTGGTGTGTTTTTCTGGAATAATAAAGCAACTATACATTTGACAACAGTCCTAATTTCAGATATTTTATTTTATTGTCTCTATAAACCAGAGATCTCAAATCTTCCCCTTTAGGACCAATTGTAGCCCTACTGAGACTCTTGGCAGACACTTATTAGTAAGGAAGGTAAGTTTAAGCTCCCTTTACCACAGCATTCTCTTTTCATCAAAGCCTTTATCATTATGTGGTATTTTCTTATCAATAGGCTGTCTTCCCTGGCCTCCCCCCCCCCCC